ATTATTATTATTATTATTATTATTACTTATTTTTAAGTAATTTAACAACAACAACAAAAAAAATTATTAAAGTTTCATATCAAAGCATTAATTTTAGATAAGTTATCATCTGACTAGATATATATAAAAAAAAATTATTTTTAATAGTTATTTCAATTAATAATAATAATAATAATAATAATAATAATAATAAATCAAATAAAAAATGTGGAAGAATTTAAACGTTTAACCGAGTTTTGTAAAAAAAAAAAAATGTTTCTCTGATAACAAAATTTGATAACATTTTTTTTTTTTTTAAATGACCTTTTCGTTAAATCGTTTTCGTAACGTTTTTTTTTCATCTTCTTCTTGTTATTTTGATATCAAATATAAAAAAAAAAAAATGCTTTTAATTTAACGGAACAATACATTATTAAAATAATAATAATAATAATAATGATAATGAGGCTAATAATAATAATAATTAAATACATAATAATTTTAAATTTAAACAATGTTTAAATTTTTTGTCTCTCCTCTTTAAAACGAATAATTAAATTTTAATAATTATAATTATTATTATCATCATGGGTCACACATTAAAAAAAAAGAAATAATAATAATAATAATTAATTAATTAATAAAATAATAAATTCGATTTTATTGCGCAATAAAAAAAAAATTAAGAAAAAAAAATCACAATTTGAAAATATGAAAAAAACAGAGAGAGAGAGAGAAGAGAAAAAGCAGAAGCCATTGCAAATAATAATTTTTATACATTTAGGGTGAACAATGACGATGACAGATGATGATGATAATTTTATAGATATACAATGTGAGGGCGTGTTCCCGCTATTTTTACCCAACGTAGGCTGACAAAAAAAGAAAAGTTTTTACATTTTTAAATTTAGGGCCAAATGATTTAACATTTTACATTTAGAGTTAAGATATTTTAAAAACGTGAATCCCCCTCCTCCCCTTCCCTCTTTATATTTTTTTCTTGGATTTTTAAAATAAAATATTCACCTTCCCTTGTTTTTCCATTTATTATTTTATTTCTCATGATTCTGTAACCAAGAATTAAATAATGGCAAAAAAATTTGTTTAATTTATTTTCAACTACTAACAACCTTTTGTATTCAGTATAAGTAAGAAGATAACAAATAATAATAATAATAATAATAAACATAATTACTATTAAATAATTAATATTTTTCATTACAAGCATACAAATTACAATTTGTATCTAAATTAAACTCATGTAATCTGAATGCAGTTGAATTTTTTCTAATCTCAATTGAAATTAAAAGAGAATTTGACACCAAACACATGGCAAAATATGTTGTAATGAAACAAACCAACTTAAGAAAAGGGTGAAAGTTATGTACAATCAAAATATTCACACTTAAAGCAAGAGTGCAAAGATTTTACATCCACCTGATACAATAAATCAATCAATTACAAGTATTTTTATTAAACTACCTCCATTTTTACTTAGTGTGACAGAAGGTATTTAGCTCAACTACTTATAATCAGCACAAGAGATGTACAATGATGTTATGCTATGCAATAGATGTTATTAAATGGAGTCCATTGTGCCTTTTCATAATTCCTTACACTAAAATCAACCAACATAAATGCTACCCAATTCTCTCTGACTTTGGTACAGATTTAAAGGGGGTATTACATCATCTCTATGATAAAGTATGTTGTAATGAGACAAACTAAATCAAGAGAAGGCCTAAAACAACCAACAATCAATAAATTAACACCTCAAGATTAGAGAGTATAGAAATTTGTACACTGAGTTAATATATATCAAATCAATCATT